TTCCTACCTTCTCTATCACGCCTGTACAGCCTATAGCCCCTAATGTTAACCGCCCAGTCATGGGACGAGCCCCACCACGTCTCTGTCTTCTAATGGTTAAATACACATACATAAAACATCTGAGCATTTTCATTATTTTTTAACATATTGCATATTTAAAAAAAAAAAAAGCATTGCATGACTTTTCCATAGTAACCTAAGCTTAAAAAAACAGGTTTGACTGAAATAAGTAAGATGTTGTTTCAACTGATTCTCATGTAGTTGTATAAATCTAAAAAAGCTGGTGCTCAGTTTAAAATGCTAGTTTCCATAGTTTCCAAAGAAAATAAATAGTTTGTTAAAGCTGTACTGTTCCATAAAGTGACTGAAGGAATCACAAAGCCTATCTATCAAAAAGCACCTTCAACATTAAATTAGATTCCAACTTGTCATCTGTACACAGTGACCTACATAAAGCAAGCTAAACATTCCAGCAATTTTTTAAAATAACCATGTAGGTAGAGTCAATTTATTTTCTTCTCTCTTATTTTTCTGCATTTTGAGTGTTGAACCATCCCTTTCCTTTTACCTGTTCAGAGCATATCCAAAAGTAGCTTTAATTTAGAATCTAGCCATGAAAAAGAAAAAAGATCTAGACCAAAACACAAGAATTTCAAGGCAAAATAAACATCTACTAAACATCTATTTCTCCTCTGTATTCATTTACACTGTTAGAAGCCATTAGTTAATGGATTTCACAATTCCAGTTAACCATTAATAAATAGCAAACCACCTCACAAGTGGTCTCTGGATTTAAAATGTTCAAACATCAAACTAGTGAACTAGGCCAGCATTTCACAATTTTTTTGTAGTAGCAGCAGCAGTTTAGGGACCATCTTAAAATACAGCTTACAGTAGCAATTATGTACCATTGAAAAACTGTACCAGGTGTACAACTAATTCTGTGATAATTAAAATTACTCTCAGGGAAGAATAGATAGCTATGTATTTTAGGTATTAATTATTATCAGCTCTTATTGCAATTTTCAACATTCTTTAAAAAAACATCATTTATAAAAGATTAGTTCTATGCTGGGGGAGAAAGCGTAGTGAGAGGGCCAACCCTTGTTAATGAAGCCTTACAGAAGACTGAAAAGCAGGGGGGAAATGAGCAGTTGCAACAGTATGCAAGTATCCATCATTTTATCTTTAGTTATTTTAGGTAAAGCTTAACTGGATCACTCAGGTGTAAACAATATCACCATGCCACCATACCTTGTCTGAAAAAAGCCTGATTTTTGCCAGCCATTGTAGTAGCAGGCTTTGTCCATTCAGATTTACCGTGTCCTATTGGGTAGTCTCCTTTATTTTGGCAGACTTTCACACACCAACGATTGAGGGAAACAAATTTTAGAAGGGAATGTGGTTTTTTTGAACACCAAAACTAAGAGGAGGGCAGATTTATACACCAGAAGCTTTTAAAACTCGCAAGGTTTTCAAAAGTGGTGTCACTAATATTTTATTTTACTTGAATTTGTATAGGATGATTTGGACAGAGATGATTCTGCCTCAGGGAGGCTGGATTAGAAGACCTATGGATGTCCCTTTCAGTCCTATTTCTCTGATTCTATGATCTTCGGCAAGTTGGGAAGACATAAGCAAAAAGGAATATTTGCTTGTTTTTTTCGTCCAGTCTTGTTAGACTCCAAAATGTTAATAGCTTAACTAGCAGCAATGTTTAATACAGCTTTTTGACCAGGAAGATACAATTATTTCTTTGCATACAGACCTTGCTGCTGTCATTCACGACTTCTCATCATTGAGACTGTGTTACTGAATGTAGTATTAGATCCATATTCTACATTTCCTGCTGCCTAGTGAGATTTAAAGAATTAATTTTAACCGTAACATACTAGCTGGCCTAGAAACTACCTAAGGCCTCACAACTTCCCATACTAAGCCTTCTGGAAGGCCAAAAAACCCACTAAAACTTCTGGATACATTAAGATTTGCAGAAGGTCTCTCTATAGCTTTTATATTTTTTTGGCTCTTGTAAAATTACTTGGTTTAAAAGGAACTATTCATAGTTTACATTATAAATAGTTTCCTTAGGCTTCAAGTAGGGATAAAAAAGAAAATGAAGAAAAAAACCCCACTATACTCAGGGGGCCTTCTTTTTTGTGCATAATTCAAATAGCAATAGTTCTAGAAGTCTGAGATGCTCTAAATGTCTTAAGATTCATACAGTACAAACAAGTGTGGAACCTAACTATATTATATAGAATGGAGCAGAACTCCTGTCATTCCATTCTCTGCAATGCTAACTATCAAAAGCATAGATTAAGCTGCTATGTTTACTGAATACAAGGGAAAGATTACTTGAGTGATGTGGCAAGTATTCATGCTTTAAGTACAGCTACTGCCTCCTCCAAAACCCCAACAAGTTGGGTACGAAAACAATGTTTCATTAAGACTGCTCAGATAAATCAGTCAGAAGCTTACAAGAATGTATACATGTGAATGACTTTGCATGCTACTATGAATGAAAAAAGCAAGACTACCCACAAGCAGAGTTCTCAGGTATCTAAGGGCATGCAGCCAAAGCCACACTAACTTTAGCAGGCTTGATTACCAGTAGAAGTTCAGCCACATCAGCATGCAACTCAGCACAGCGGAACCACCTAAAGTTGATCTAGCTTCAGATGACTTTTCCAGCTCTGAGCATAAGAACTGCAGTGTAGACATAGCATTAGGGCTGGAAGAAATTACAATCCTAACTTTCTCTGGTACACATCTATTTTACTGAAATACATACCACACTGCATTTCATCATACACATACCATATGTTAAGCAGTGTAATCTACAGAAACTGTTTCAGAGCTCTAAACTGACTATGCAAGATAGCTGGTGAATTAACATTATTTTTGTACCTAATATTTCTGAAGTTCTGTTTAAACCCATGTCAAACTTTCAGCTGACTATTCTTTGCATAATGTAATGTAAAATTTCCCATACATTTCAACAGCACCATGTTTAACTGAAGGGATAAGACATGTGGGACTTACATATTCCTTCACATTTTTTGTCTTCACAGCCTTGTATGAATAATAAGCAGGATACAGCATTCCAAATATCAACCTATTAAAAAAATTAAAAGGTATTTAATTTGTCAAACTGTACATGAAAGAAAGCAGACATACTACACCATTAAACAGCTGCAAACAGCTTGGAAAAAGCAGCGCCTAATAGCTTGAAAAAAAACTCTGATTTTACAGGCAGCTTGGAGGCAACTAGGCGGTTTGTACTGGCAATGCTTCATCTCAGGCTGATTTAATGTTCCTGAAGACATCAGCCAGCTTCTTATGATCTGCCTCTAAACAAATGGAAATGTTTCTTGAACCAGGACTGTACTACAACAAAAAGCTATACCAAGTATATCACATTAGCCAGTGCCAATATAACTTTCTAGTAACCATCACTGCTTTGCTGTGAGGGTAGCAATTTCCCAAGCTGCAGCCCAGCCCCACAAAGCAACAACTCATCAACAACTTTAAAAGTGATGCCAGAATTCCCATCAAGAGTCTAAAACTGCATTTTCATCAAACACCAACAATTTTTAGAGCTTATTGTTGAAAGAGGCTAATGCAAAACAAGAACTGAATTTTTGCTCAGCCAGCCAATTTCTGCTATAAGCAGTGAAGATTTACTTAGGGTATGTACACACATTTGCAGTATCCAATCTACAATACCTTTAAGCTGTGTGATCACAATGGGGTGTAGTGTGTGCACACATTTGCTGGTGCCAACAGCTGCACTGGGAACCCAACCAAAGTAAGTCAAGGTGGAAGGAGAGGGGAACGGGGACAGTCAAGTGGTTAAAAATAGCCTAGTCAGGGATTGGTTTGTTTTTTTTGGGAGGGTGGGATAGGAAAAATGCAGCCCTAGGGCTGAGGCAAGCAGTTGGGCTTTTGCTCTGTACTCTGAACATAAACAAATGTCTGTTAGATTGGGCTACTCCATTCCCAATCTTAGCTCACCTCCTCAGGGGAATTAATTTATATTGGGCCAGCCATTTTTGCCCAATCTAACCTTCCCAGAACGTCTGGCACTTAGACCTACCCTAACAACAGGTCCGAATGTATTTAACACAATGGATTCCCACTTGAAATCTCTGTGAATCTGGTTTGCACACTCAACAGTACTAATTGCATAGCACCCTGGGGCACTCTTGAAAGAATCAGGGCACCCCAGGGTACCATGGCACCCTGGCTGAGAATCACAGGGTTAAGGCATAAAATGAACAGCAGTAAATTAAAAGTCCCTAAATGAGGCAAGATTCTCCATAACTTTGTACATAACCATCATAAGATTTGCACCTAACTAACCATAACCACCACAAGATTGCTCTGCTCTGTAGAAGTTCTACTGTCTACATTACCATTTTAATTACCTCTTTTTTTTGGGAATGTGTACCAACCCTCCTATCTTCTGCTTTGGGGAAAAGTATAGATATAGAAACAAGTTCAGATTCTGCCACCCACTCACTATCAACATCCAAAAAATTTAATGAGGAGTCTGTTCCATTCTAGAATTGGTTTGGAGCAGAGAATCAGTGTTGTTCATTCATACAATATTATAAGAAAACAATCAACACTTTGTAGCTGTGTGTGTTCTATGCAAGAACAAATCCTAGCAACAAAATTAGGCAGAATAAGTACACCTCTCTTTCTAAACAACTATACCTTTAAGAGAAAGTATACACATGGTATATAGCACATAAAAATATTTAAATTTTCTGAGTACAGTAAACTGTGTTGTTACAGTCCATGCTACAAGTTAGACAGAATACCCTCCAGATAATATTTTACAAACCAATGAAAAATTCTTGTTCTTCGGAAGTTTTGTTGAAACAGGCTCTGAAACCTGTAACCTAGGAGCAGCCCTTCTGGAAAACTCGCCAGGGCTGGGGCCAGGGTCAGCAGGCAGGGGCTGCCCCAGGTGGGAGCAGGTGTGGCTCAGCTCTATGCAGGGCGCCATGGGGGCAGCTGCAGACCACACCACACAGGAAAGCTGTGCTGAACATGCCCCTTGCCCCCCACCCCCTGCCCTCTCACCCCACATCCAGTCAGCTCCTATGACCTAGTGCACATGTAGTCCCCCCACCCCAACACACACTCCCAAATATACAAGAGCAAGACTATTTTGAGCTATAATGTAATTGCCTCTATATATACACCACTAAAAAAAAAAAAAAGCAAATCAAGACAAAAATAATTCTTAAAATACAATTAAAATATAGTAGATTGTGTGTGTGTGCGCGCGCGTAGATATATCTACACACACACACACACACACACACTTTTATCTATAATTTGTTAAAATGATATCTTCAGAAAAATGTTGCATGTGTGGTCCTTGACAGCTCACCAAAACTTAAGTGGCTTTCCAGAAGAAATAAATACCCATCCCTCCTATAAGGCTTCCTTATTCTTCATTTTCCTAATCTTTAAAACTACAACCAAAGTAGTCTCAAGTAAGCTAAGATAAATTCCTTGCCCATAATTCCTGAATCATCATGGCTGCAACACCACACTAACACTATCTCAATTAAACCAGCAGAATTGCATCAAAAGCTTCCTAGCAGTCTCTCTCAAACTAAAACCGTACAGATATGCAAGCAAGTGAAAGTGTTTAGGGTTTCTTTTTCTTATGATTTAATCTAATAAACACCAGAAATTACTTGACTTCTTTCTTGGTGCAGTTTATGTAGGTGAGGATCCTTGCTAGCAAGACAGTTTGCTACCGAAACCCCAGCTACTCAGAGGACATTCAAAAAGGAGGATTGTATGTATGTGCACTGGATTGAAAAAAAAAAATCATTCTATTACCAGGTGAAGTGCATGTCTCTTTAAAGACATCATCACATCAATTGATCTCAGAACTCCTTCAGGAGAAAAAAGGGACAGTTCCAAATACATATCAGACAATTTACAAAAAACATCATGCAAAAGCTACAAGAGAGCATGCCCACGATTTGTAGAAGACTGAAAAGGAAACAAGATGTTAGTGTACGAAAATGACATTTGCAATACCTGTAAACTAGCATGAAGAATCTTTCACTAAAATAACCAAACATAAGCTGTTTACATGCTTGTAACAAAAGGTCTACATGCCAAACGACAGCAGCACCAATAAGGAATTCTCTAAGGCAGGGCTGTCCAATAAACAGCCCATGAGAAGTAACACTGTGGCCCTCCAGACTCCTGCCCAGCCACAGCTTCTCCACCCTGGCAAACTGCTGTAGTTCCAGGCTCTGCTCCCTCCTCCAGCTACTATTTCCTGCCCCTGCTCTAGAGGACAAGGCTGCACAGTGCAGCAGCTTGGGAAGCTGAGAGTGACTCTAGGGTACATGCTGCAACAGAAGGTAGAAGGGGCCAGGAGGGTCACAGTGCAGCAGGGGAGTCCCCACACAGTTTAGCAGTGGCAGGGGTGGGTCATGGATATACAAAGCAGCAGTTGAGGGAGAAAAGAAAAAAACAAAAAGGAAGATCAGATGGGGGGTGGAAACCATGGGCATATGTTGTAATGTGGGTGGCAGAGGAAGCATTGATGGGATGTGCAGCCTGGAATACCATAGCTAGTGTTCCGCATTCTCTGTTTTTACTGATTTTCACTGATCAATTCCCTGATTTTTAAGTCATTCAGTTTTTAGTGATTTACAACCATTTTTCAGTTCAAATCCCTGTTAACCAGCATGAGTGGGGAACAGCGGCAGCCACGTATGGAGTGGGAGCCGGGAGGGGTGGCAGTGGCTGTGCAGGGGCTGAGGGAGGGTGCTGAAGCTGCTACCTGGGGGCGCGGAACTCCCGGCTCTGACCCCGGATGGGGTGCTACAGGCTGTGGGAATCGCTCCCAAAGCAGGTGGGTCCGAGCTGCACCCTGGCAGCTCCAGCTTTGGCCCTGCCCTGGGTGCTGCGAGCCCTGCTGGGGGGGCAGGCAGGAGAGCCCAGGCCCACTCCCTGTAGGTGGGGCCACCAGCGGTACCAGGCTGTTCCTGACACTGGGGGCAGGCAGCAACCTGCTCTCATTCTGCACACAGATCTGGAGGGATGCGCCCCCCTCAGGAAGAGCCCAGCACAGCCCCCCAGCTCAGGGGGCACATAGCAGCAAGAGCCACGGCCCCCTTGCCGCACACCCACTGACAGCTTCCCCCACTTTGCTCCCTGCTGCAGCCCTGGAAGCAGCCGATGGGCTGCACTGTGCCCCTTCCCCCACCCCTTCCCTAGTCCCAGCCTTACTCCCTCCCCCCCTCCCCACCAATTGCTCCCCAATTTAAACCAATTTTTTTTCCTTTTTCTTCCTTTTATCCTGATTTCATCCCAGTTTTTATGTTTTGAAGTGATACCCTGAAAAGTTCCCAGATTTTTTTTTTTTTTTTTTTAAATAAAAACCAAGAATGTAGAACACTAACCACAGCTTATCCTGGTACAGTCCATGGGCCATGCAGCTCTAAAGCCACTAGAAGTTCCAGGTACTGGGTATCAGCAGCAGATAAGCAAAACTGTCTCTTTCTCCTTTTGCTGTCTCTGCAGTTTAGGAAGCACTGACTTCCTTCCCCAGGGGTCATGCAGCTGGAAGCTGGCCTTTCAGTTGCTATTAACTAGTGTCAATTTTAACTATAACAAGAATCCTTTAGTGAAAATATGGATTCTGAGGGTGAAGCCTGCACCATCTATCTCTCTGGCAGGTCAGCTGCTGTAGGAACTAGACTTGGGGAGATGGACCTGCAATCTGACAGTAAGAAAGACAGAAGCAGAAGCATTCAAATGAGTTGCACACTTTTAAAGACATCAGCACAGAAGCAAATCTCACAACTCCTGTAGGAGGTAACAGGACATTCCAATGAAAAGCTTACAGAAAGCAGATGTAGTTATCCGATGTTCTCTGTCCAGTGGATTAAAAGCAAGACAGGCTGTTCCCCAAGGATACAGTGTAGCCATCTTGGGCACAAAATCCACTCCATACAACCACTTATTTCAGGAAAACTTGCTGAGCAGATTGCACATCTTCAGAACACTTACAGGGCTCATAGCCCAACGTGATCTCAGAGTAAACTGAAGCAAAGACTTCCAACTAAT